GTGTGTGTGTGTGTGTGTGTGTGTGTGTGTGTGTGTGTGTGTGTGTGAGGGACTTCTTCCAATTATCATATTGAAATTACTCAGGGTCACACTGCATTACTGGAGTCAGTAAACCACAGCTTCCATCACGCCTCGTCCTTAGCTGACTTTGACACAGAATGCGTACAATTAACACATTTTAATGACCGTGTTGCTAATTAAAAATAAGCCTTGTGAGTCACGAGCGTTCATCGTCAACTGTGCAGCGAACCTGTTGTCAGAGAGGCAGCAGGCGGGTCTGTTTCAGGGTGGACAATCCAACGTTTGGCAACTCATTTGTTTTTTTTATTCAACAAATGTCACATTCTCCCACTTGTTTGGGTCTATACTGCACAAGTTGCATATTTGCTCAAACTACAACATTACGGTGCATTAATGTCAACAAGTACTTATACTAGTAAGACTTTGTGGCCAATTACTGGCACTGTTGTACAACTAGTCATAGCAGACGTCATACTAGTCAACCATTTTGCTGCACTAGTTGCACAAAAGTTCCAGCATTGTGGATTTTAAAGGGCCAATATCATGTAAAATCAACTTTTTGAGTTTTATATCATGTTATAATGTTATACTCTCATAAAAAACATGCCCAAAGCCTTGCTTTGACTCATTCATGCATGTTTGAGAAATCCTGCAGTGTTTTTAGGAAGCCATGCTGAGGAGCAAAACGACAGGTGGGGACCAGAAATGCCCCTGGGACGTGTCTTTAAGCCGGACTTCCTCATGGCAGAGCGCACCTCCTCACCCCCACCCCACACACCCCGCCCATGACTCCTGCAGGCTCTCGGGTGAAAGTGAAAGTGAAACCTAACTGTCTGCTGAGCTCTCAACATTAGTTCTCACTCAGTGAAGCTCTTTTCTACGGAGCCCGCCGGGGGTCAGTGGTGAAAAAAGAAAAACAGCCGCCGGAAATCCGTGCGCACGGATTGCTAAACTGAGAGCACAGATTAGTAATCCGTGTTTCAAATAATCAAATAATTTCAAATAATCAAAATCCTGAGATTTTACCTGCCCTTGTAAGGGGTCTCCAGACCCAAAATTTTGAGAACCCCTGAACTAGTGCACAAATGTTTGGTAGTTAACTAGTAAAGACTAATTTCGTTACAGTCACCATTTAGTATGATAATCCTTATCGGGGTGGGCACAGCTTACCAAAAAGTTAGTTCGCTCACTCTTAATCTGCTAGTTAAAAATGTAGCTTCGCTAACACTAAACATGTAGAACATTTAGCGGAAGCTAATGCTAAACAGCTAATGAAGTAAAATTTAGTGGCTAACACTAACCACTAAGACTGTCAGTCTGCGTCACGTCTTTGTCTCCTTTAAGCTTAAGGGCGGAGTGACATATACCTGTTGTTAGCTTGTTAGTTATCTGTTAGCATACGTCATTGCCCCGCGCAGAGGACTGTCCCAATTCGAAGGCTTCTCATCATGCGGCCGATGAATGCATCCTACTTCCTGTCGAAATCCGAGGATGCATCCATGTATCCTTACAGCCGAGGATATCCCAGGATTCAATGCGCGGGCAGCAAAATGATCTGAGAAATGAAGATGGTGTGTTTTTATTTTTTTAACGTGTCGGCGCAGTTTGGAAATTCACCACAGACCAAAGGATTTGTTTTTTAAAAGTTAGTTTAGCAACTTAG